GAAGAATTTAAATTATCATTATTTGCAGATGACATGATACTTTACTTGGAAGACCCAAAAAACTCCACCAAGAAGCTACTAGAATTAATACAGAAGTTCAGTAGCATAGCAGCTTATAAAGTCAATACCCAAAAGTCAGTAGCATTCCTCTACACAGACAACAAACACCCTGAGGGGGCAGTTATAGAAACAATACCTTTTACAATAGCACTGAGGAAAATGAGATACCTTAGAATTAATCTAACTAAAGAAGTCAAAGATCTTTTCAAGGATAATTACAGAACTCTGAAAAAAGAGATCATAGAGGATTTAAGAAAATGAAAAGATATTCCATGCTCCTAGTTAGGAAGTACCAACATTGTGAAGATGGCCATATTCTCAAAATGTCTCTACAGATTTAATGCAATCCCTATCAAATTACCAACAACATACTTCCCACACCTAGGGAAATCATTCCTAAAATTTATTTTGAACCAGAAAAGACGTAGAATAGCAAAAGCAATAATGTGCAATAAAGACAAGGCAGGAGGCATTACAATTCCTGACTTGAAATTATACTACAAGACTACTGTGATAAAATCAGCATGGTATTGGCAACAAAATAGAGCTGAGGATCAGTGGAATAGATTATAAGACGCTGAAGCCCCTACGAACACACTCAGCCACCTTATGTTTGACAAAGCAGCCAAACATACTCACTGGAAGAAAGATAGCCTCTTTAACAAACGGTGCTGGAAAAACTGGCTCTCTCCATGCCAAAAACTAAAGCTTGACACAGGTCTATCACCATGCACTAAGCTAAAGTCAATATGAATTAAAGATCTAAACATTAAAACAGAGACACTAAATCTCCTGGAAGAGAATGTAGGAGGAACTTTTGAAGACATAGTGGTAGGCAAAGAGTTCATGAACAGAAATCAAATCACACAGGAAACAGTTGAAAGAATTAACAACTGGGACCTGCTTTTACTGAGAAGATTTTTCACATCAAAAGAAATTACCAACAAAGTGAAAAGACAACCCACAAATTTGGAAAAAAAATCATGACAAATAAGTACCCAGACAAAGGTCTGCTCTCTAGAATTTATAAAGAATTAAAAAAAAAACTAGGGCCCCCCATAATTTAAAGACCCAGTCCATAAATGGGCATCTGAGATGAACATACACTTCTCAGAGGCTGAAATTAAAGAAGTGAATAAATATATGAAAAAATGCTCCGCATCACTAGCCATCCATGATAAGCAAATTAAAACAACATTGAGATATCATCTCACCCCAGAAAGAATGGCTATCATAAAGAAATCACCCAACAACAAACTTAGGAGAAGCTGTGGGGAAAAGGAACCCTTCTCAATTGCTGGTGGGAATGTAGACTGGTGCAACCATTATGGAAATCAGTGTGGAGACTCCTTAGAAAGCATGGACTGCAAATCCCATTTAAGCCAGCTATTCCTCTTCTGGGAATTTTCCTGAGGATCTGAAAACATCATAGCATAGTGATATATGTGTGCCTATGTTTACAGCAACACAATTTGTGGTAGCTAAATCCTGGAAACAACCAAGATGCCCACCCCGGAGGAATCGAAGAAAAAGATGTGGTATTTTTATGTGATGGAGTATTACTCAGCTATAAAGAATGATAAACTCGAAGCCTTTATATTGAAGTGGATGCCACTTGAACATATACTCATAAGTGAAATTAACCAGACACACACGTATAAATATCATATAGTTTCCCTAGTATAAGAACTCAAAAAAGAAATAGAAATAGAAATAGAAAGGTATAATACAAATAAAAGAAAAGCAGGAT